CATACAGTAGAAAACCATGTTGTTCAAAAGTCAACTATGTATCAATGAATTAAAAAGCACTTGATAAGTCACCATTCATTTATGATAAAAACTTAGGAAACTAGGAATAAGAGAAAACTTCCTTAACTGATAAAAGGTAGCTAACAAAACCTAGAATAAACATCACACTTAGTTATGAAATACTGACGGTTTGTCCCTGAGATTGAGAGTGAGACAAGTATAAAGAACTCCTACAGCACTGCATATTATATAAGACTGATGGATCACAGACCTGTACCTCTGAAACCAATAATACATTATATGTTAATTAACTGAATTAAAAAAAATTTTTTAAAAAGAACTCCTACAGGGGCACCTGGGTGGCTCAGTCGTTGAGCGTCTGCCTTCGGCTCAGGTCATGATCCCAGGGTCCTGGGATCAAGCCCCGCATCAGGCTCCCTGCTCCGCGGGAGGCCTGCTTCTCCCCCTCCCACTCCCCCTGCTTGTATTCCGTCTCTCGCTGCGTCTCTCTCTGTCAAATAAATAAAATCTTTAAAAAAAAAAAAAAAAAAAAAAAAAAAGAACTACAAACTAGTAAGACAGACAACACAATAAAAATATGAGCAAAAGTTTGGAACAGGCACTTCAGAAACGATGATACACAAATGACCTACAAACTATGAAAAGGTACTCAACTTCATTAGTCATCAGGATTTGAATGAAGGTTTGAAAAATTAAGCAACAAAAAAGAAGTACTTTTCTCCCACGTAGAAGAAATTAAAGAGAGGGACAACAGCTGAAATAGGATATTCTAATGCACTTAAAACATCCAATGGCAAGTGGAACATAAGATCCTGCTCACATTCAGCTGACAGGAAAAATATAATCTTATTTTCAACATTTATTTATTAAGCACTTACAGTGTAACAAGAATTATGGTAATTATGAAGACCAGTAAAGATCATGCATCTTTTAAAAAAAATCCTCAGAATGTAAAGATAGGAAGAGGGCAACCTGGAATATATGAAGGTAAAAAGGGACTGATCTAGGTACCAGAAAACGTACAGGATTCTTTTTTATTTTTTTAAGATTTTATTTTATTTATTTTGATGGGGGGGAAGAGCATGCACATACGAGCGGGGGGGGGGGCGGCAAAGGGAGAGGGAGAAGCAGACTTCCCACTGAGCAGGGAGCCCAAAGCGGGGCTCTATCCCAGGACCCCAGGATCATGACCTGAGCCCAAGGCAGATGGTTAACTGACTGAGCCACCCAGGTGCCCCAACATACAGGATTCTAACCTAAATTTATACTGACAGACTATGTTAACCCTGGACAAACTTTTTTTAGGCTTTAGGTTTCACTTCTATAAAATGAGGTGGCTGGAATAAATGATTTCCAAAATTTATTTTGAAGTCCCCAAACTCTGTGATACTAATGGTAAAGCCACCAAAGCTATCTTTTCTTAGAATGTCTTACATGCTTTTGTTTTAGAATCTCAACAATTACCACAGCATTTTGAAGACAAATTTTTTTTTAAAGATGTTAGCTTATTAAGATTTTATTTATTTATTTTTTAACAGAGAGAGAGAGACAGCGAGAGAGGGAACACAAGCAGGGAGAGTGGGAGAGGCAGAAGCAGGCTTCCCGCCGAGCAGGGAGCCCGATGTGGGACTCGATCCCAGGACCCTGGGATCATGACCTGAGCCGAAGGCAGACGCTTAACGACTGAGCCACCCAGGCACCCTGAAGACAAATTTTTGAAGACTTCCCCCCCGCCCAGGGGCATAGAGTATAATTTAATAAGAACTAGCTAATATTGGTCAATAGGACAACAAGATTTTTAAATGTCTTGAATTGTGACATTTCTACAACTAGAAAAAGACAGTCGGGATATAATTTCTAAAAGTAATATAAGTCTCTGTAAGTAAAGTTTTCCAATTTGTTTAAGATACCAAAGCTCATTAACACTTGAATCTTTGGTTATCTTTGCTATTAGAAAGGACACATCAGGCATAGTATCTAAATAATGAAGAATTTCTATTTAGTGGAAAAAGCCATGGGATATGGTATCAGACAAACATAGGTCTAGCTTTGCAACTTACTATCTGTGAGAGATATTGAATAAGTCACTTAAACTTTCCAACCTCAGTTTCTCACTGAAAATTGTGGATAAAAACAATAAAAATAATAGCTCCCCAAACCCAAGGTAAACTGAAAGTAGGATGCTTTACTGGACAAGGAAGGAGATGCCTGATCATATTATATAAATATGGCAGACACGAGGATTGAGTGATCATATCTAAAATTTACCTTGTCCAAAACAGAAGTCTTGATTTTCCATACCCCCAACTGTGCCTCTCTCTCAGACTTTCCCATCGGACTAAATGATCAAGCCTAGGAATAAACCCTGATTTTCTTTTCCACACCATCTCCAACACTTAATTTATCAGTAATTCTGTCAGGCCTACCTCCAAAATGTCTTTTTTTTTTAAGATTTTATTTATTTATTTATTTGGCAGAGAGAGCACACGCACACAAGTGGCGGGGGGGGGCGGTGGCAGGCAGAGCAGGCAGAGGGAGAGGGAGAAGCAGGCTCCCTGCTGAGCAAGGAGCTCAATGCGGGACTCGATCCCAGGACCCTGGGATCATGACCTGAGCTAAAGGCAGACACTTAACGCACGTAGGCGTCCCCAAAAGGTATTTCTGACTAGTTTCCCCTGTCTTCATTGCCAATACCCAAGTCCCAGCTGTCATCACCTCGCACCCAGATCCTGCAACAGACTTCACCATGCTTCTGCTTTACTCCCCCTTCAGTGGTACATTCACCCAGCAGTCAGAGTGGTCTTTTAAAAATGGAAATCAGATCATATCACTCCCTCTAACCACTTTCCACTGCAACCAAAATAAAAATCTAAATTCTTTAGATGGCCTGCAAGGCCTTACACAATCTGGCCCCTCCCACTTCTCTGACCTCATTTATTCTATTTATTTATTTATTTTACTCCTTTCCCCTATTCACTAGGATCTAGATCTACGCTACCCAACATGGGAGCTACCAGCCACACATGGCTATTTAAATTTAAACTGAATTAAAATTCAGTTCCTTAGTTACATAGCCACATTTCATGTTCATAATTGACCACATGTGGCCACAGGCTACCAAATTGGACATCACCAAATAGATTTCCATCAGAACACAAGGTTTTCTGGGATGGCACTGATCTAGACCCATGCCAAGCTCATTCCTACCTCCAGGTCATTGTACCTGCTACTCCCCCTTTGAGAATGTTCTTCTGCGGATGTTGGGATGGCTAACTCCTTCTCATAATTCAGGCCTCAGTTCAAACAAAGCTCCTCGGAGGGACCTTCTAAATTTAGATATAGACCACTCAATCTCAAACAGTTCCCTGGTCTCCCCCATCCCCAGACACTCTTTACCCATCACTGTTTTATTTTCTTCATAGTACTTATTACTATCTGAAACTGTTTTGTTTTTTATCTGTTTACCCATAGAATGTAAGCCCTGCAAGGGCAGAAACCACGTTTGTATGTTCACAGCTGTCTCTCCAGTGACTAGAACAAAATTTGACATGTAGGAAGGTAAAGTAAGTTGTTGAACAAAAGAATAAGTGAGTAAGTATCGGAAAGAACATGGGTTTTGGAGTTAAACCAACCTGTACTCCAATCCACTTATCAGCTATCATATCTTAACAAAACTTACTTAATCTTTGAGCCAAATTCCTAGTGTCTTCATGATGATTGAATAAGACAAAGCCTGTAATCTGCCTTGTACTCTTACTATTAAAGCATCCCCTTCAAACTCAGGACAGGAGAGAAACATCAGAAAGACAGAAGCATGACTTGCAAAATGGAAGCACAAAAGTTCTACTCCTTGGGTAATCTCTTTTCCAAGTGTGGCTGACTCATTCTGGATTCCTCTTAAACTGAGCGAGGTAGCTCTGATACATGCTCCCATAATGCAACAAACCAAAATATGGTAGCATAATTCTGGATGATACAAAACAAAATAATAATGCTGTGGCCAGAATAATTAACAATATCTTAATAATAACTACTATTTTGGGATCACTTATTAAGCCATTATGCTAAGCACCATATATACATCATCTGATTTATTCCTCACGAAAACTCTTTGAGGTATTATTATATTATCACCATGCCCATTTTATAAATGAGAAAACCAAGGCACAGAGATTAAGTAACTTGCCCAAGAAGACAGATCATAAATGCAGGAGTTGAGCTGGACCCAGGTCTATCTGAGGGTAGAAACCAAACCTTTAACTTCTGTAACATGCAGTTTCCTTTTACAGTAGATAGCATAGAGCTGGGCCCTGATGACTCCCTAATAAATATAATCAACAATACTCTATATTTTGGTTACTGCCTTCTGAAATTTTATTTATTAGCCACCTTTGTTGTTTAAGTGGCATAAAGAACTGAGTATGGCTTTATTACTTCATTTCAGGAATACTCTCAAATCCTTGAGACTAGGAAAAATTCAGAAAGATCTTCTGTTAGTATACACAATCATGAAAATTATCTATTTCCTCCCTATTTTATTTAAACAAAATTTAGAGACTCCAATAACACCACTGCTTTTTCTGTCTCTAATTGCCACAGGGCAAATAACCTAAACTTTTTAAATGAATGCTCTAGTGAGCCAGACCCTTTTCCTCTTTCCTACTTGAAAAAACTACTCTTTAAAAACATTAAAGAGTAGGTTTTAGTTCGGTATATGACATTAGGTTTTCACGCTGTGGTAGAGATTCTGCACTTGAATTGATTCTAGTGGTGTTCATCTACTACTACCTGGCAGCAGAACCTTGATCTCAGAACCTCAGCTCTACTTTTCTTAAGATGATTCCACTGAAACAATTAGTAAGATCCATTTCATTTACCACTGATTTCCTTTAATTTGGCTCCCTTATAGACAAGTGAACTTCTTTTATCTTTCCCTAATGAGTTAGGATCACAAGAAATCATTAATATTCAATACAAACCTCCATCAAGGCTCCGGGATGCCCGTTTGCTTGCTGTACGCTCGAAGTGCGGGGCAGGCCTGTCAATCAGGGCACTAGCTTGCCTGGTCTGCGCCTGAGTCCGGCCACTGTATCTAAATTTGGATCCCAGTGCAAGAAATTTGCTTTTAGGAAGGGTGTCTGTAGATGTCAGTCTAGGGTGGAAAAACAAAATTATATGTATTATCTCACTCTAATGAGACTGGGAGAGTAAAGACAAAAATCATGAATTAATCTCATTTCCTTATAGTTACTAAGACAGAGTTCCAATCAAACAATCATTATTTTAATTCTACATCATTTCTCAAAGCAACATGTATAATTTAATTGTGGCCTATATTAATAATATTATAATATATCCCTATAGATAGGGCCTTATGGTTTTCAAAATGCTTTTATAGCACTGTAATATTTTCATTACATCCATGTAATATTTTCATCATTTTACAGATACAAGAAACTGAACTTCCAAAAAGAAGGTACTGCTTTAAGATCACATAGCCGAGATTGGGCAATAACAGGGTCCAAGCCCAGAGCACTTTTCCCACTCTATTAAAATAATTTTGTCAAATGCACTCCAAATTCAATTAGTGCCTGTTAACCTATTTAATAGGTTATTTGGTATATTTATCGCAGTTAGGAACCCCATCTTCTCTCTGTGCTATACCCTGTAATCTCTTTTGCCACGGCATTTACTGCACTGACCTGAGACCATCTATGTGCTGGTCTCCACTACAAGGCTGTGGGCTCTCTCTGGGTAAAGGATAAAGACTATGATTTATTTACCTTTGTATTTTCACTCCTGGCATAGTGCCTGGCATGAATTTGCCACTCAGTAAATGTTTGCTGAATAAATACATCAATTGCTACATCAAACACTACCAAAAAGAGAGTACTTTTTCCCTTTGGGATAGTTTATTTTAATTCAGTAAATATTTACTTTCTTTTGTGTGATGAAGCATCACATATTAATATATTCTCTTATTTTGATAAAACAGATTCAAACATGCTGTCCTACAAGTAAATACTTTAGGATGTAGTTGAAATCTATACCATACATATTAAACATTCAAAAAACTCTTTCTCACCTATACCCTTTTAGTTTTTTTAAAGGTTTATTGATTTATTTATTTGAGAGAGAGAGTGTGCAAGCACACATAAGCAGAAGGAGGGGCAGAGGAAGAGAATCTCAAGAAGACCCCTGCTGCGTGTGGAGCCTGCCATAGGACTCGATCCCACAACCCATGAGATCATGACCTGAGCCCAAACCAAGAGTTGGATGCTCAACTGACTGAGCCACCCAGGCACCCCACCCTTACCCTTTTTAAAAACTCTATTTTCTTGGTTTGATTTTAAAAATGAGGATGATAAAAACATAAAGAAATATATCAATGCCAAAAATTAAGATTCCTTAACTGGTTATGAAGTATACCTTCATGTTTATTCTCAAATGATAATTTTTTTTAAAGATTTATTTATTTGTCAGAGAGAGAGAGAGCACAAGCAGGGGGAGCGGCAAGCAGAGGGAGAGGGAAAAGCAGGCTCCCCGCGGAGCAGGGAGCCCGATATGGGACTGAATCCCAGGACCCTGGGATCATGACCTGAGCCAAATGCAGTCACTCAACCGACTGAGCCACCCAGGTGCCCTGAAATGAGAATTAAAGTGTTCTTTTCCCTGAGTTTTCTTCCTGTCTACTGTGCTATCGTGCTAAGTGTGATATGAAAACACAAATAGAAATAAAAGATATTATAAAAAAAAGATATTATGGTCATCTCTCTTGAGAGCCATTCATAAAGAGCCAAGTTTATTTACAAATGACATGGCATGAGATCTGGGATTTGCTTCAAAATACTCTGGGAAGGAGTGGGAAGGAATGGGTAAGGATATAGACGAAACAAGATTGGCCTTGGGGTGATAATATTGAAGGTGGGTGTAGGTACAGGGTAGTTCATTATACTACTTTCTTTATTATGACCACGTATGCAATTTACAATAATAAAGAAAATTTTCTTTAAAAAGCAAGCTGACAGCAACTAGCTGGTTCTCCTTTCAGTGCCAGTGATTACTTGTCTAAAGTCTGTCTTCTCTGCTAGATTGATTATTCCCTCAGGACAGGGACTAGAACTATCCTGTGGTATATTCTCAATGCCTACTACACTAAAAAAATGTTTGGTAAATGAATACAAGGGGTTAATGATGTGGCCTCTTGAAAAGCAGAGCAGATGAAACTTCCTCCTATTTTCTGATTATCTGATACAATTGGGCTTTAAAGATGGCTCTCTGTGCCTCTTTTCGGGGGTTGATTAGAGCCATCACCTTCCTACCTTTCACCTTCTAATCTAACAGCCCCACAGAAAGTAGGGAAGCAATGCTTTAAGAAATTCCATGTGGAGGTAAGTCAGAGTATTTCCCCCTCACAGACTGATTTTAGCTCCAGTTAGGATGATCACAGAGCCCCTAGTAAACACAGATTCCTTTTCCTCCCTTCTATTCTCCTTCTACCACACACAGAAAGATGCTCTGGGAATGTTAAGGAATATTTTTCAACCCAAGGGAGGAGAACTGGATTTATTTTGTCTTGCTTAAGATGATCTCACCCGAGCTAAATAAAAGAATGCCAGCCATACAAAGAAGGGAACTTCAATAGCAGGCTTCAAATAGAAACATGCATAAATAATTTATCCTTGAAAAATACTTAAGTGAGAACAATACCTGAAAAACGTGTGATGCTCTACACAGACTTTCCATAATTTCTTAGCTGCTCGGTAACTGGGAAGTTTGAATCCAATGGTACTCTCATATTGTTCTTGCTATAAAAATGCGAATAAACATGAAACACAATTATTTGACTAAAGTGATCCAGTACCAGAGAAATACAGTGTTACAGAAGAGGACATTATAAAGACTGTTACGACTAGTCTAAGAAATTGAAATTTTTCAGTTGAAATTGAAAATTTTCATTTGAAATTTTTTCCTACTTACCAGAAGAGATCTACTCACTGAAGGTGGCTTTTTCCACAGCAGAGAAGCCAGGGAATGCGTCTTATATTATTTATGCATTTTATTTTGTTCAGAACCCATTCCCCCCTACACACACTGTACATTTTTCTGAGACATAATTAAGTGACCTTTTGACTGTCTGGACATTACTCTTTCTTGGTCACTGCCTACATTTGGGATACTTGACTACAATATGATCAGGGAATGGGAAAACATGATTCCTCCAATCAATCAATATTATTATGCAATTGTTTTTAGTAATAGGAGCTAAAGATTTTGGCTCAAACTAGATTCCCAAATTATTAAATGTTTTCTCTTTTTTTCCTTTGACTGACCATTATTTATCTGGAGACCTCTTTGACTGAAGCAAATCATAACCTGCCAAGGATACAAGAAACACTGTCCTGCTAGTCTTTTGCTTCTTTGTTTCTACCTTAAGCATACTTTATAAGATAGAAAAGAAACTGACATTTATATTTAGTGCCTACTATTGCCAATAATACTATGATTAGATAGTATCATCTATATTTTTACACATGAAGAAACTAAGATCACAGAAGTTATTTGCTCAGTCTCATAGCTATCAAGTGGCAGAACCAGATTTTCATGGTTTCTACTATACCATGCTACTGCTATATCACCCTCTGTAGACATAACACTCCACATCTCAAAATCCTTTTGTTGTTCCTAACTGCTTTCTTCAATAAGAATTCTATGTTTTAGTATGTATCATATAGTTGACATTCAAAAAACCCAAGGACTTCCTTTACCCTATTTATTTGTGTGTGTGTGTGTGTATAAATTTTCTGCCTTCCCACATTAAAATGTAAGATTGGTTAGGGATGAACTCTTTTATTCACTATTATATTCCTAGACCCAAGAATAGTGCCTGGCACAAAGAAAGCCCTCAATCAATAAATATTTGGTGACTGAATGCCTCTTAGATTTGAAACTTCTGAGGGAAGACATTGACTCCTCTTCGCTAGGCACAGTAAGTAATGATGGTATTAAATAAATGCTTCATTGAGCTTATCCAAGATTTTTAAGGCCGCACATCCAGTATATCCAAGCTAAAATAACGAGCCATTTTCCACCAGCAGATGGTGATACACACACACACAAAGCCATATACATTAGTGCATTACTTTCTCATGTAGAGCTTTTACAGCTGTCATCTCATTTGATCTTCAAATCAACTGTGACAGAGAAGGTATTATCCCACTCCAATGATAAGGAAGCTGAGTCCTAGATTTGTCCTGGGTATTTTGCTTAGTAGTGGCAGTGGCAGAGTAGGAGCTAGAACTTGTTTTAATGCCTACTTAAATAATTTTCTGCTGTGCCTTGATGGCTCCTAAATGTAAAAGTTAAGTTTGGTCAGCATTAGTATATCCTAAATCTTGAACACCAACTAATAACTGGGTTGTCTGGATGAGTTGAACAACGAACTCTATTAAAAATCTAGAACTTGACCTAGAATACATTCTTAGTAACCACTAGGAGCTACACATACAAATAAATCTTAATTATATGAGGTAAGGTGTTGGTGGTGCAAAACATGAGTATCTTAACCCCACAATTTAAAAATCTCCTGCTACTTAATTTATAAATATTAATAAATATTTTCCCATCAAGGATTTTACCTGAAGTAAACAAGGAACAAGTTTATCAATCCAAGATTCACTTTTGGCCGTGATGTATTTACTTAGATACAGAGAAATGTCCAGAAGATCAGTAGTAAGGAAGACAAGAAGCATTATGGGGCAGATTAATTTAGAAAACAGAATTACCAGTTCCTGAACAGTTAGCTACAGAGAGACGTCTTAGATGACATAAAAAGAGAATGAAAAGATGTTTTCAACATAGTCCATGCTTGATTCAGGAGGAAAGAAGCATGAATGCTGTACCTCTCCAGGACGGATCTTGATGAAAAAGCTGCTACGTTTGTAAGAAATCTTCAGCACTTTGGGCCAAGGAAAGCGGTTAATTCTCAGCTTATCTTTATAAACCAGAAGGCCACTAGAACAGACACCTAGGATGATATCCACTCCTTCCAAGTCCTGAAAAAGAAAAGTGTTGGCAGTTCAGTCTTCAGCAAAGTGCCCAACACATGGTTGACTATTATTTGATAATCTGAACCTATCAATAACCAAAAACACTTACAAAGCATACATTAAGAAGTAAAGCTTGACCTTACAATCATAAGTCATGGGACTACTGAGTCCATGTAAAAATGTTACCACACCACTGTGAGTGAACACCTGCTCTTTTCTTGTCCAAGAAACATGGATGTACACATCTTACCCACTGAAGGAACTAACTCCTAGAAGGAGCAATGCAGCCACCACAGCCACCCCTCAAAGCCACTGTGAAATGTCATTGGGCTTGCACTTCATCTAACTTTACAACACTTCTCCCATAAAACTGAGCCTCTGTTTTCTCCAAAAAGGTGTTCCTTAATAAGCCAAAAAGAGACACTCATCTGCTTTTACCATGCCTGTCTGTATATGAAAATTCTAGGGTAAACATTCATGTTCTCATTCTAAATATTCAAATCTGTCACTATCATAATCAGTAAATAATTACTATGGTGGCTAATAGCAGCTACCTATGTCCTATACACGTAGGTTTAAGTCTGTAGACCACATGACTTCTGGAGGCTAGGGCTGAGGAATATGTCTACTACCACATACACATGCACAATTATATTTTTTTATGATAATGTGGTCATTCATCCAAAATTCATAAGTAAAGGAGCTGACTCTATTCCTGTATAAACTCAGTATGAGAGAATCTCAGACTCTTGTAATTATTGATGTTAAGTATATTAAATTATAAATATTATCCCAAAGTTAAGAAGGAACAGCAAGATAAAGCCACATTTCTATGCCTCCTTAGTAATTTTTAAAAATTAAATATATAATATTAATCTGTGTCTGCAAATAAGGAAAATAAATTTCACTTGAGTAAATCTCTACCAATGACTATTTAGATAGGTAATCAAAACACAGAGTTAAATGTTTCTTGACTATTCCTTTTCCCAAATTGAGCATAGAGAAACATGTTAGTGCCTATATGTTATGTACAAACACAACTGAGAGGTAAAAATTATTAACAGCTCTAACTCAATGACTATATAACTCAGAATTTCCCAGAAGATGCCCTCTTAAATTCTTAAAACCTGTGGCTTTATCTCTCTCTTCATTATATGTTTTGGAGAAACAATTTGCTTTACAACATTTGGGAAAGGAATATGCTGCTTGACTTCTTCATCTATTCCTGATAATTACTGCATCGACATCAGCCTACAGCAGGAACTGAGAAGCAAAACCAAACAATTTCTGATCTGATCTTTCTATCATCTACTTTAGAGATTCACAAAAGCACCCAGGCCAAAACAATCCAGAGCAACATTTTACGAAAAACCACTAACATGCAATGAAATTTTATTCGATTTAACAGAATCTAAAGAAGGAAGAATCTTCAGATATCAGCTATTCAGAGTGGGAGAAGCATGAAAGTTTGTTAGTCCAATCCCACAACAGATGTTTGAATGTCCTTTTTTCTAAATTCCTACCAAGCAATTATTCTACCTATCCTGGAATATAAGGTAGTGAGCATTCTGTCACGGAGCTATTCCAGGTAGAATAATCGCTTGGTGGGAATTTAGAAAAAAGGACATTCAAACATCTGGTGTGTGACTGGACTAAAAGGACCTTTCATGCTATAGGCACGAAATAATTACTATGGTAGCTAGGGGCCCATTCCATCTTAGTAAAGCTCTGACTGTTCTGCAATTTGTCAAACTATGCTGAATGGTATTTCCCTGTAATTTCCATTTGACTAGCTCTAGCCTTATACCTGGAGCCATAGTAAAATCTCTGTTTCACACAACAATCCTTCAAATACACAAAGACAGGCTTTATGTCTTCCCTAAACTTTCTCTTCTAGGGGCTAAGTATCCCTATTCCTTTGCTTTCTCACTGGACATGGTTTTGAGTCCCCTCATCATACACCCTAGTTAAGTTCCTCTAAATGAACCTCACATCATCCCTTGAGCCCATTCCCTCACAAACTCCTCACACACACCCTTGCCACCCCCAAACACTTCAGTAGGTGAAGATGAGAGAAGTCAAGCAACTTCCCTTAAGTTTATCCTATTAGGCTGTATTAGGCAGAACTAGGACTAAAGCTTAAGTTTCCAATTCCCTGACCCAGTAGTTTCCAAATGAGCCACTGTGGTTCATCCCATGTGCATTAGAATCACCTGGAGAGCTTGTGAAATCAGATTGCTGGGCTCTACCTGCAGCAATTCTGATTCAGTTAAGTCTGGGATGGGGCCTGAAATGTGCATTTCTAACAAGTTCCTGGATGATGCTAAACGCTGATTAGGAGACCACACTTTGAGAACCACTACCTTAGGCCAATGGTTTTCATATTCAGGTGTGAGTGAGAGTAATTTACATGTTCATTCAAGTTAGAGCTCTGGTGTCTTGTCCAAAGTAATTCAGTAAATCTGGGAGGATCTTGAGAATCTGCATATCTAATAAATGCCCCAGTGACTCTGATGTAGGTGATGCTGGTTGTGAAACATGCCTTGCTGCCACTTTATAGTTTCAAATGCATCTGCATTTTAGGAAAATATCACTTCTTCCACTCTAGGTGAAATATCTTTGATCCTTACAGGGGCTTCAATGTGAAATTTCATTCTGACAGTAGAACTGCAAAGGGGCAATTCAAATTAAACACTTAAAATTCTAACAAGAACAATCTCTTTTGAATGTTTTACAATACCCCAGATAAAAGTTGGCAACAAGTATTATATGACCCAGTTCTGATACATGTATATTAATAAAGGCCAAAGATATCATTCATTACCTTTGCTTTATGAAGGTCAACACCATACATAGACAACTTTTTGGCATTCTCAAGAAATTCCAGGTCAGCTTGAGCTGGAGTCATGGACCTTTGGCAAAATAAAAATTAGAAGTTCAGCATCATAGTGCCATCTTCTACAATAATAACATTTGTATATTAGTTGCACTTTATATAAACACACAATATATATATTGTATATATGTACACACACACACACACACACACCAATATGGATATGGATATATTTCATAGTCCTGAAAGTAAAATATTAGGGAAAAGGATTCTTATCACTACCTGTGTCTAAATCATTGATATATGTCTTAGTAAAAAGAGATCTTGGAGAAAAACAAAGTCACCAAAAAACTATTAGGAAAAAAAGGTTTTAAAAAATATCCTGCTAAACAATTTCCTTATAGCTGCCGCACCACCATCAGCTCTACCCTCCCTCTCCTCTCAGCCTTTTTCTCTAACACACACAAACTCCTCCTACTAGTTTTTCTTGCCAAGGAGGTGACCAAATTAAATCCTCTGAGGGCATGGTACAATTTACAATATCCTCTTAGCTGCCTTTTTCTTTCCATACTCCTGAATTATTATGGAAATGAAACAGGAGGGCAGCTGAAGTTACTTAACTGGAGACTTAATGGGAGCAAGCTTGATGAAAAGAAATTTTCTGGTAACAGATGGTGTCCTGCCCACTAATCTAAACAAAATAAATTGGTTAATAGAAGCATGTAGATAATGGGGCTGCTTTCTCTGTTATTAAGATGTCTTCATTACTAGGCATATAATGAATTAGATTTGTTTGAAAACAATCAGTCTCACTGTCTAAATGCTCACTGTGATGATCTTTCCTTCTCCTTTGTAACTTTCCCCACTCATGAGCTGTTATGTTGAGCTCTGAAGAAAAAGATATCACTCCTAGAGCTGCACAATTCAGGCCAATCAAATATAACTTCATACTAACAATAATGCTGCCACACCCCCAAAGAAAAACGGTATACATGCCTGTTTCCCAGAGGACTGCCTTAAACTAAACAAAGCAGGAGTGGCCTATTCATTTAACAGAAGAAAGTCTCTTCTAAACCCATCTGTCTTTACTTTCATTAAAAAGAACAAAGGGTTCCTTGGAACAACCACCAAAATCTCAGGACATAGTCTGCAGATTTGTTAATGACTCAGCCTCCCCAAATAAACTTTTTTTCCTACAAGCACTAATTATCACACCTGAGTTCTATTTAGTAGATCTAAAATTGAACACACACACACAAAAGGAGAATGGGAAAATACATATGCAAGTCTGTGTATTCTAGTCACTAAAAACATCTCAGGAATGGGGTGCCTGGGTGGCTCAGTGGATGGAGCCACCTTTTCTTGGTTTCAGCTCAGGTCATGATCTCATGGTCGTGGAATCGAGCCCTGTGATGGGTTCCGCACTCAGCGTGGAGTCAGCTTGGGATTCTCTGCCTCTGCCCCTTCCTTCTTTCAAATAAATAAAATCTTTTTTTTTAATGCCCCTTCTTTCTTTCAAATAAATAAAATCTTTTTTTTTAATGCCCCTTCTTTCTCTCTCTCTTTCAAATAAATAAAATCTTTTTTTAAAGCATCTCAGGTGGGGTGCCTGGGTGGCTCAGTCGTTGGGTATCTGCCTTCGGCTCAGGTCATGATCCCAGGATCCTGGGGTAGAGCCCCGCATCAGGCTCCCTGCTCTGTGGGAAGCCTGCTTCTCCCTCTCCCACTCCCCCTGCTTGTGTTCCCTCTCTTGCTGTGTCTCTCTGTCAAATAGATAAATAAAATCTTTTAAAAAATAAAAAATAAAGCATCTCAGGAAAGTTTTTTTTTTTTAAAGATTTTATTTATTTATTTGACAGAGAGAGACAGTGAGAGCAGGAACACAAGTAGGGGGAGTGGGAGAGGGAGAAGCAGGCTTCCCGCCGAGCAGGGAGCCCGATGTGGGACTCGATCCCAGGACCCCGGGATCATGACCTGAGCCGAAGGCAGATGCTTAACGACTGAGCCACCCAGGCGCCCTCAGGAAAGTTTTATAGGGTTTTTTTTCCACATAAAGTTATATACTTTTCTAGTTAAGGTTAGTCCCAATCATTTTAGTTTTTGTTGTTGTTACTATTATCAATGGCTTCAATTTTAGGATTTTGATGGTGGAATGGAGCTTGAAGATTACAGAATCCAACATTTTGATTTTGCTGATGAAGAAATAAGGCCCTGAGGGATCACATAGTCATGCGCAGTTGTGACTCTTAAGGCGGCAGGCTTTAGACTGGACTTCAAGTCACATTACTCACGCTGGAATCATGCCTCCCGCACGTAAGAGTGGTGACCTGGTGTCTCCCTCAATCCCTTAATTATAAAGTAAGATCCATGATAATACCTAATTCCAGAGACTAGGATAGGCAATGACCTTTTTGTTTGCTGAATGAATGAATGTGACTATGTAGGATAAAAATGAGATAATGGTTGTGAAACTGCTCTGCAAAATATATTTATTATTATTGCAACTTTAGGTTTCTTTTTTAAAATTTTTTTAAGATTTATTTATTTGAGAGAGAGAGAATGTGTGAGCAGTGGGGGAGGGGCAGAAGGAGAGGAGAGAATCCCAAACAGGTTCACTACTGAGTGCGGAGCCGACACGGGGACTAATCCCACGATCCCAAGATCATGATCTGAGCCGAAATCAAGGGTCACCCATTCAACTGACTGAGCCACCCAGGCACCCCTGTAACTTTCAGTTTCTGATGATAGTACAGTGGAACATCTATACACAATTCATAAAAGAGAAAAATTTTGATCACTTGAACTTGAAGACACATTTTAAAACATTAAATGAGGCAATTGTGATAAAATCTTTTCTAGTTACTCCTCCAACTCTAAGGGACGTTAATGGGGTCAATTTAAATACAGATTTAAGTTTCAAACTATGTATTTAAATGCTTCTCTAAGTAAGCATGCTTTAAAATTGTATTAAGGGCAGGAGCACCTGACTGGCTCAGTTGGAAGAGTACGCGACTCTTGATCTTGGGGTTGTGAGTTCAAGGCCCACGCTGGGTGGAGATTAATTAAATAACTATATATTTTTTAAAAAGATAGATAGATACATAGATAGATAAAACTGTATTAAGGGCAGGTAGTAAGAAGAGATCTTTAACTTTTAAAACTATGAATTTTCTTGTTAGTTGAAAATAATACTTATATTTGAAGTTTAGCTGATTATTGAAACATGCTTAAACTTAGAAGTTACCTACAATGCCAATCATTTTTTCCTCAACTACCTGAGAGCAAACTGTCAACCAGATGACCCATCACTCCCAAAACACTTTAAAATGTGTAATTCCTACGAACAAGGACATTCTCCTATATAACCTCTATGCAACCATCAAAAGCAGGGAATAATTATTAATACATTACTGCTACCTAATCCTCAGACCCCACTCAAGTTTGGCCAGTTTTTTAAAAAGTGTTCTGTACAGTAGAAAGGCCCAGTTTAGTTAGCACCATGAGTTTCATTTAGTTCATGTCTCTGGTCTTCTTCGGTCTGGAACAGTTCCTTAATCTTCCTTTGACTTTCATAATCTTGACCTTTTGATAATTACAGGCCATTTATTCTATAGAATGCACCTCAATTTGGGTCTGATGTTTCTCCATGAACTGATTCAGGTTTTGCATCTTTGACAGGAATAGCACAGAAGTGGCTCCGTGTTCAATATGTCCCTTCATAGATGATGTTCGTTTTGATCACTGATGTCTGCCAGGCTTCTCTTCTGTGAAATTCCTATTTATCTCTTCGTAATTAATAACCATTTTGTTGGAATGTATTTTTTTTTAAGATTTTGTTTATTTATTTGTCAGAGAGAAAGAGTGGGAGAGCACAAGCAGGGGGAGCAGCAGACAGAGGGAGAAGCAGACTCCCCACAGAGCAGGGAACCCGATGCGGGACTCGATCCCAGGACCCTGGGATCATGACCTGAGCTGAAGGCAGATGCTTAACCGACTGAGCCCCCCAGGCATCCCTGTGGGAATGTATTTTGAAACCTTCTGAATATCCTATTCCTTATCAAATTTCCAATTTACTCATTTATATCGGTATGGACTCACAGATTTCATTTCATTCAATGCAATATAATCAATTGTCCTTATTTATTTTAGTGCTTAAATTGGCCCAGATTTGGTCAGTAGGAGCCTCTCCAAGCTGGATTCTGTATCCTTCTGATCATTTCTGTCATTTTTTGAGCACTCCTTTCTCAAACAATGTAGAGTTATAGTATGTTAGTATGCATGCATGTATGTATGTGTGTGTGCCTATTTACACATCTGCCTATCTATCTAGCTAGCTAGCTACCTATCTACCTATCATTGGGAATCATGAGTTAGCATTGAAACCACCAGTTTCAATGCAATACCACAGGGTTTCTCCCTCTTCATAATGTGAATCTCCCTCTACTGACAGTAAAAAACCTGACTCCCATCATCATCAAGATATTGACTAATTTGATCAACACCTTGTATATAACCAATCTCTCACCGCTGCCAGTGACTCCTCCCCTACATGGATACCTTCCTCACCTTGACTGGACTCTGAACTCCCCCCATGTGGGGCTGCTCCTCACCCAGGGATGCCCTCCTTACCTCACTCAGGTTCTGACTCCTGGTATTAGGCTATCCCTTTCATGGACATGTTCTTCACCCTGCTCAGGCTTCAACACCCTGTATCAGGTACCACCCCATGCGAAGGCCTCCACCCGATGCAGGCCTTACCCCCACATGGATGCCCTTCTCAATCTGCTCTGCCTCTGATAACTACCACCACAGGCCCATACATGACTACCCTCTTTGTACTGCTTGAGCTCTGACTCCTCACACCAGGCTGGCCCCCTACCCATGAATACTCCCACCACCCTGCTTAGACCCAATATCCCCAGCCAGACTGCCTCTCTGCATGGATGACTATCTTGCTCTCCCCTACCTAATAGCAAAACAAAATTCTTTCAGGAAGCTTTTTCTGATTATAAAACCATACATTCATTGTATAAGCACATGGTGGGGGGGAGAGAAAATCTCTCATATTCCCACTACCCACAGAACTGTACATGTAAATACAACACATGTATTTTACAAATTTAATACCACAAATTAAATTCAAATTATTTTCAACTTAAACTTTTAAAAGATCAGGGTTTCTCCTAGATTTTCAAAGACTCTTGAAGTATAATAAACTAGCTAGGAAGACGTTAGATACCTCTAAGCCATTAAGAATTTATTCAGTATCACCCAATAATTTACTACTTGAAAGCTTACAAAAGTATCTAACCAGAGAGTTCTGGCACTGGTTAACTCTTGCTCATTAAAAAGAGAAGTTAAAACAAAGTTTCTCTGTATTTATTTTGAGCAAGTGGGGTCTGGATACAAAGCCATTCAGTGAGTTCCAATGTTATGTGACAGCCTCTTAATAATGTTTGTTACATCCCCTAATTAAGGACTGAGATTTCAAATAATTAAGTGGGGGACAACTGACAAGTTTACATACTTTCCTACTACCCATCAATGGAGGGCAATTAATTTTAAAGCAATCTTGATTTGCTAGTATAAATTTACAGTGTTAATTATAACTTCAAAGTCTATCTGGGCAAAGGGCCACTAACTAAGGGTTCCATGTAAGTAGGCGGTCTTCTATTTATCTGAGAACAGGGTGGTATTTGCTTGTACTTTTCAATGCATAGTAAAATGCTTCTGCCTCAGTAGAAGTTTCTCTGGATTAGTTAAAATGCCATGTTGTTGGACATAATTAAATTTTCCATTAGGCTTTCTGTTTGTAAATGGTGCCAATCTTTCCAAAAAGGAGCAAGTAAATTCCAAGATGTCAGACCTCTACATTTTCTAGTCATGGAGATCCATTATTGCTTAATTTCTACCCATATACCTAAAAGAACATCAACTGGACTATATTCACCTGTCTTTTGAGATCATTTCACTTATTTGGGTTTAAATTCTCTTAAGTTCCAAAAAGTAGTTCTCTAAACCCAGATTCACATCCATCACTTGTAAAATGGCATTAAGAATTATTATCCTAGCAAATACTCTCACTATATACTAGTCATCATGCAATGCGCTTCACATTTTTAACAATCACAAAATTCATATCATTACCCTTATTTTTCAGATGAGAAAACTGAAGCTTAGAGAGCTTAAGTCATTTACTAAGAGTCAAAAAGTTAATAAGGAATGGAGTCTGAATTCAAAGTACAACAGGCTGATTCCAGAGCCCATGCTTCTCACTGCCTAGCTCAGTGGTTCTCAAACTTTTTGACCTTAGGATCCCTTCCCTCTCTTAACAATTATTGAGGTCTCCAAAGAGCTTTTCTTTACATGGGTTATATCTATCAATACTCACTACATTAGAAATTAAAACTAAGAAGATTTTTAAATACTTATTAAATCTTTAAATAACAATAAGCTCATATTTTAACGTTCATAACTTTTTTGTGTGAAAAATAACAATATTTTCCCAAAATGTAGTAAAAAAAAGTGACATTATTTCACATATTTATAAATTTTTAAAATATCTGATTTAGAAGATACCTGGATTCTCCTAATTCAGACTAACATAACTCAGGGTACTACTAACTCAAGACCAACATCAGATATTCACGTTAATAAGCTAAGGCAGCCTGTAAAATGCAGTGTTAGCAAGTCCCTCAAATAACCATGGGATGTATAGTGGGAAGAAACACAAATTATTCTGGCACTTTAATATTAGCTAACATTTACTGAATTTTGACAATGTGTAAGACACTGTATTAAGTCTTTCCACAGGGATGCCTGGGTGGCTCACTCAGTTAAGTATCTGCCTTCGGCTCAGGTCATGATTCCAGGGTCCTAGGATGGAGTCCCACATCGGGCTCCTCGCTCAGTGGGGAGTCTGCTTCTCCCTCTGCCTGCCACTCCCCCTGCTTGTGCTCGTTCTCTCTCTCTCTCTCGGACAAATAAATAAATAAAATCTTAAAAAAAAAAGTTTTTCCACATAATACCTTTTCTAATCCCATCCATCACCCTATTTCCTCTGAGGAAATAAGTTCCATCAGACATATAAGGAACCTGAGGCTCAGAGAGGTTAAGTGAATAACTCAAGGTCACAAGGCCAGGACCAAGCAGAGCCAAGATCTCAACCCAGTTCAGTCTGACCATATGCCCTTGGTTTTGATCAATTTGTTATGATACATTCCAACATCACTAATTATTTCCATGCAAAAAAGCATTGAATTCAATAAAGACTTTTCAAAATTCCCTCAGGGGTCTCATGGGTCCTCTGGAGTCTATCCATGTACACAGATCCTAAGAGCCCCTGCTTTAAGGATCTTAAAGTATCTAATTCAGCATAATAAGTTTAAAATCTGAAAAAAAAAAGTAAGGCAACAAGAGCTAACATTTACTGAGCACCTATTATGTGCCAGACACAGTGCTTAGTGCTTTACATCTATTACCTCATTTAGTTTTCATCCTTCAACACAACACCTGTTATTCTGATGAGAAAACTGAGGTTCAGAGGGCTTAAGTGATTTGCTCAAAGTCGAACAGTGGAGGGGCTTGAGCTGACTCTACAGCACCACATCCCCTCTAAAACAAACACTGAATCAAAACCAGGTCAACGGTTTAAACTTATTGCCAAAACAAACACAGAAAAAACCTGGAGACATATTTACCTGTATGACTTATGCAGTTCCATGACCTTCTCTTCAAGTTCCTTGGTCTGATTTGGGGCCAGTTTAAAATCACTAACATAATCGGCACCATGAAGTTCTGGGTCATAGTCTCCCAGCTCAGACTGGATGGTGTAAGAACCTAATAATGCTAAGGTTGCAAAGGAACAGGGCAGACGTCCTGCAACTATGTCCTGTCGAAGCTGAAGGCATAAATAGTATCTACAGGCAAAAGAGAAAAAAAATTACCATGTCAGCAACAACAAAGACAAAATATAGAGAAAGAGGAAGAAAAGGGGAGTGAGAGGGAGGGAAGGACAGAGAAAAACGAGAGATTAAATAAATATGAAATAATATTAGTAATTGTTCAATCTAGGTAGTGGTTATATGATTGTTCATCATACTATTATTTTTTCTTTTCCATGTGTTTTAAAATTTTTCCATGTAAAACATTATAAAAACCCAACAACAACCCTGTAACTATGTTGGACTCATGTTTGGAAGGCAACTTAGAAAGAGGAAGTTGCTAAGACAGTAGATCTTAAAAGTTCTCATCACCAGGAAAAACATTTTTGTAATTATGTATGGTGATGGTTATGCACTAGACTTATTGTGGTGATCATTTCATAATACATGCAAATATCAAATTATTCTGTTATATACTTGAAATTAATACAATGGTATATGTCAATTATATATCAATAACAAAAAAGAAAGAAAGAAAAGAGGTAAAGTTGGGAAAAGTCTGAAGGAGGTAAGGAAATTAATATTTTATTGAGTACATTAAGTACCATATACATATAAATTATCTCACCTAATTTTCACAAAAAAACTTGTGAAGTGGGTATCATTACCAGATTACAGATAGGGAGGCAGCTTCAAAGACTAAGCTTGCTCAATGTCATATAGTAACAAAGGTTGTTTGGCTCCAAAACTGGACTCCTTCTATCATACTGCTTTGCCAAACGTGTAGATACTGTCCTTCATATATAACAATGACATAATTGACACATTTTTACCAGGGGATGAACAGTTTCAGTTCTTTTCCCTTCAAGATGGGCTAAGCTGCATGTAGCCTTCCACACACTATCATATTGTAAGACTGATTCCATCCATGTGCTAAAGTATTGGGAATTCAAACTGGGCTTGAAACTGGTCAATAGAACAGAGTGCGCCTACATACGTTAGACACTCATCTCTATCAGTACCATGTTTACATCTATGATCCTGACCTCCTTAGCACTTTTTCTAGCTGAGTTGACCAATATAGACTGTTTTACCAAACAGGAAAGCTGGGAGATATGATGCAACTGAAAATTCCTGTATTGATTCAAATTATATCCTTGGTTTGACCATAACAAGATGTTGAATAATGTAAGTATCAACAACCGCTTCTGCTAACTATGATTAGTCACTACATATTTTTTTAAAAAAAGGGGAATGCCAACCAAATCACAAGGATCTTAAACTCCTCTAAAATGTAGGTAATTAGCAAAGAATTTTAGGGATTTGTTTTGTTTTATACATAACCTCAATGAAGAAAGACGACTGAGAAGCAACTCTAAGAGACAAATATTACCTGAGAAAAAGAAATAACAAAAACAATTTTTTTTTCAGGCAGAGATGGCATGTCAACTTCAAGCATGTACTAAGGATTAACTAGACAAAGAATAATTTTTTAAAAATTTCACTGTACTTGACAATCAGACTTAAGAGTTTACTTAGGCTATCCTCCTATTTGAGAGATCTGAAAACTGAGGTACAGAGACTGTATATATGTCTGAAGTCAGATAGTGGACAGCAAAATCAGAACTAGAAAGCATTTTCTCAGCAACCAACAATTCCATTGCCAAGCACCTACTATGTATAAGGATCATGCAAGGTGTTATGGATATAAATATGTACAGTAGCATTCTAAGATTCCATTTTCTTTTTTTAACTTAGTATTTATATAGAACCCAATAAAGGCCACTTTCCTAAAATCAGGAAGTTGTTTTCAAAGGGTACAAGATTTATTTCATAAACTAAGTGGGCTTAAAAATTACTGAGGAAGATTCAGTTCATGAGGATTATGCACCTAATCATACACTTTAAAGAGAGATAAGAAGAAATAATAACACACACATACACACACACACAAGAAATAATAATAAATCAGATTTCAGCTTTTTTAATCCCTATAACAGAAAACATGGTAGGGAAGCAGTATTTTTTTAAATAATTTTTTATTGTTATGTTAATCACCACACATTACATCATTAGTTTTTGATGTAGTGTTCCATGATTCATTGTTTGTGCATAACACCCAGTGCTCCACGCAGAATGTGCCCTCTTTAATACCCATCACCAGGCTAACCCATCCCCCCACCCCCCGGTAGGGAAGCAGTATTAAAAAGAGAAAGTACTAGAGCTATTTTATCACTTATATTTTTGTCTTGCCCTTCGGAGGGCATGTGGTTCATAGATGCCCTATACACACCTTGGCATAGTACTCATGATAAGCAAGGTTAATTCCCCTGCCAATTTCCTCCGGGCATGTCAAAGATATATGAGTCTTCTAGGCTCACTTATTTGCAAACCTGTCTTGAAGAGGCCAGATGCTCTCCATCCTAAGTTTAAAAGCACTTCATTTTTCTTCAGTTCTAAATAGAAAAATTCCCAGAGCTTATGATAATGAGAATTACTTATTATATATTTAACTATTAATCAATTATTTACCTTGTTATATCTTCTGTTAACTGTGCTGGGTCAGGTGGATAAAACTTTACATTAAATGTGAAATTCCAGGGGACACCTGTAAAAGTAAACACAAAAAGAATTGTAGGCTTATACCTAAGTTTCTGATTGTTAAAAGTACATAAAATATTCAAAGTTTTCTTTTCCTGAGGTTTTTTAAATATTCTCATGCTTTGTGGAAAAAATTTGATTTTTATTAAAGAAAGAAAAAGTTCGGGGCGCCTGGGTGGCTCAGATGGTTAAGCGTCTGCCTTCGGCTCAGGTCATGATCCCAGGGTCCTGGGATCGAGCCCCACGTCGGGCTCCTGGCTCAGCAAGGAGCCTGCTTCTCCCTCTCCCTCTGCCTCTCCCTCTGCCTCTCCCCCTGCTCATGCTTTCTCTTCTCTCTCTCTGTATCTCTGTGTCTCAAATGAATAAATAAAATCCTTAAAAAAAAATAAAGAAAGAAAGAAAGAAAGAAAAAGTTATTTAGAACCACTTAAGAGAGTTTGAAAGCGATTTTTTTCTCTTTGAGCTCTGTGTTAAGTAACTGATATAAAAAGCTTGATAACATCCAGAATTGGTGGGGAAAATAAACAATTATCTATTGTTAATATGAGTATAAATTGATACAACAACCATATCTAAGGAGAACAATTTGACCATATCTTTCAAAACATAAAACATATATATTCTTTCACCTCCCAGCTCTATTTCCATAAATGGTTCTATTACATATGCCTAAACATGGTCCAAATGGTATATGCATAAGATATTGTTTGTAATAACAAATGTCTGGAGACAACCTAAATATATACTTATTTAGCAAGAGAAGATATATTTCCAAGATATAGTGTTAGGTGAAAAAAATATCAAGGTCAAGAACAGTGCATAGAGAAAGCAACCATAAGGGGCGCCTGGGTGGCTCAGCCGCCTAAATGCCCGACTCTTGGTTTCGGCTCAGGTCATGATCTCAGGGTCGTGAGATGGAGCTCCTCATAGAGCTCTCACTCAGCATGGAGTCTGTTTGGGATTCTCTCCCGCTCCCTCCGGAGTGCCCTTCCCCTCGCTGTGTTCACTCTCTAATAAACAAAAATCTTTCAAAAGCTAAAATTTAAATTTAAAAAAAGCAACCATGAAAGAAGTATATGTTAGGGTATGATTATATATGCATAGACAATCCCTATAAGGATATATACTAAACCATTTATAGTAGTTAGGAAGTTAGGAAGGGGAACTTTTAGAGAGGAAAATGAAGATGGGGAAAATAGGATGAAGACCTATTTTCACTGTATACACTTTTATACCATTTGAATTTTGTACATATACTACTTATTAGATATAAACATATAACTTTTTTAAAGAATAATCTTTGTCTCCTCCTACTAAACTGCAAATTACTGAGCAAAAAAATTTTTTTCTGTTTTATTTGGTATGTATCCCTAGTGTCCAAAACAGTGCTTGGTAGATCATAGATGCTCAAGAAATATTTGTTGAGTGAATGAATGAAATAAAGTAACTGATCTCACAGCATTGTTGTGAAGGTCATATGAGGATGCTACAGCTCCAGGGGGCAGAAAAAAGGCACTAATATATTAAAATTATCCATTAATCCAGATCCACCAATGACCTTATGTTACTACACCTAATCAAATGAAAACAAACCAAAAAAACCCCTGTATTCTGGTTCAATTTTTCACTCCATTTAACCCAAAACAAGGAAGTTTAACTGTATTATAAATAACCACATCTAAACAGAAATGTCCCAATTATTAACTCTTTTACTTTTGTTAACAGCAATTTTAAGAAGAGGAACCCAAATTTTCAGTTCCTATTCTTTTCCATGTAAGAGATACAAGTCTGGTATGTTGCTAGTGAAGATATTCAGGTTCACTGCAAGCTAGCTCGGGGTTCAATGCAATAGAGACTAAAAAAGTTAATCACTTGGAATTAAAAAAACATTAAAGTTAAGCTTTAGTTAGTGACAGTCTCTAGAATAGCATACATATAATTAGTAATACCTTATGGAGAATATTTAGGGGGGGGGAAGGTGGCTGGAAAGGCTCTAAAAAATCTTAACATTAAAATTTCTGCCCTCTTGGGGCCCCTGGGTGGCTCAGTCGTTAAGTGTCTGCCTTCAGCTCAGGTCATGATCCCGAAGTCCTGGAATCGAGCCCCGCATCGGGCTCCCTGCTCAGTGGGAAGCCTGCTTCTCCCTCTCCCACTCCCCCTGCTTGTGTTCCCTCTCTCGCTGTGTCTCTGTCAAATAAATAAAATATTTTTAAAATAAAAAAATAAAAAATAAATAAAATTCCTGCCCTCTTGGGATGCCTGGGTGGCTCAGTCAGTTAAGTGTCTGCCTTTAGCTCAGGTCATGATCCCAGGGTCCTAGGATCGAGTCCCACATTGGGCTCCTTGCTCAGGAGGGAACCTGCTTCTCCCTCTGCCTGCCGTTCCCCTGCTTGTGCATGCTCTCTCTCTCTGACAAATAAATAAATAAAATCTTAAAACAAAAAATGTTTACTTAAAAAAAAAATTCTGCCCTCTAACTCAGTAACACTTCAATGACATTCCCACCAAAGCGCATAATCTGAAGATTCATGTGCCATGAAGAAATATCAAACATCCTCAAAGTGACCACTTATAAAATAATGAGGCTGGACTCTTCAAAACTTCCAATGTTATAAAATACTTTAAAGACTCAGGAACTGTTCCAGATCAAAAAAACTAAAGAGATCTGCCAACTAAATGCAAAACATCACCGGAGATTTTCTTTTGCTATAAAGAATATTACTGGGACAACTGATTAGATCTGTATGTTACAGTATTGCTTCAATGTTAATTTCCTGCTTTTACTAACTGTATTATAGCTATATATGAAAATTCATAGTTTTTAGGATATTTTAGGGGTAGAGAGATATCATGACTGCAACTTATTTTCTTTTTTATTGAGGTGAAATTCACATAATATGAACCATTTTAAAGTATACGATTCAGTATATTTAGTGTACAATTCAGTGGCATTCAGTACATTCATAATTCTGTACAACCATCATCACTATCTAGTTTCAAAACCTTTTCTTTTCTTTTTTTTTCCAAAACCTTTTTACCACTCCCAAAGGAAACTCTGTATCCATTAAGCAGTCACTCCCTCTCTGTCCGTACCCCCTCCACCTCCAACACTTGGCAACCACTAATCTGTTTTATTTCTGTGGATCTACATATTCTGGATATTATATAAATAGAATCATATATGACCTTAAACATTTGGTTACTTTCACTTAGCATAATGTTTTCATTGATCATCTACACAGGAACATGTATCAATGTATCAGTATTTCTTTCCTTTTTAAGGCTGAATAATATTCCACTGTATGTATGTATCACATTTTGCTTACCTATTATTGGGTAATGGGCATTGGGTTGATGGACATTGGGTTGTTTCTCCCTTTTGTTTATTGTGAATAATGTTGCTATGATGCAACTTTAAAATGGTTCAGAAAAAAAACCTCTGTGTATATGTGTGTGTGTGTGTGTGTGTGATCGTATAGATAAAGAGAAAAGAAAAAGCAAATGTAGTAAAATATTAACATTTGAGGAATCTGAGTAAAGGATATTCAGGAACTCTTTGTAGCATTCTTTCAATTTTCTGTTAAGTCTAAAATTATGTCAAGAAATATTTTAAATTAATAATTGAAAAAAATTCCTGCCTTCTGAGGACACAGGAAACTAGGAATTCTCATTTACTCCTACTGGTGGGGAGGTAAACTGTTACAATCAACGTAAAGGAGACCAATTTGGCAATATCTGGTAAAACATACCCTATAATCTAGCATTCCACTTACAGGTATACATCCTCAATCAAGTGTTTTGTTTTGTTTTGTTTTTTAAGATTTTATTTATTTATTTGAGAGCGAGAGAATGAGAGATAGAGAGCACGAGAGGGAAGACGGTCAGAGGGAGAAGCAGACTCCCTGCTGAGCAGGAAGCCCAATGTGGAACTCGATTCCGGGACTCCAGGATCATGACCTGAGCCGAAGGCAGTTGCTTAACCAACTGAGCCACCCAGGCGCCCTCAAGTGTTTTTTTAAACTGTGGATCATGATCCATTGTGAAGTCAGTTTAGTAGGTCAAAAACAGCATTTTAGGGGCGCCTGGGTGGCTCAGTTGGTTAAGCAACTGCCTTCGGCTCAGGTCATGATCCTGGAGTCCCGGGATCGAGTTCCACATTGGGCTTCCTGCTCAGCAGGGAGTCTGCTTCTCCCTCTGACCGTCTTCCCTCTCGTGCTCTCTATCTCTCATTCTCTCTCGCTCTCAAATAAATAAATAAAATCTTTAAAAAAACCCAGCATTTTAAAAAATGAAATAGAATACAAACAAAAAAAATCAGAGGATATCCCTCATAGTAAAGATGAAGAATCGTTTTGTGAAATTTTCTTTTCAACTGAGATGAATTTCAAAAATCATGTTGAGGAAGAAAACCAAATCACAAATGGCTAACTGTTAAATAATTAAATTTATATGATGTTCAAAAGGTAAAACAATATTTTTAGGTATACATTCATAGGTAACAGAAACTACTTAAAAATACAATGAAATCATTAACATAAAATTCAGGACAGTGTGACCCCTGCAGGGAAAGGAGAGAAAGACACATTTATAAAAACTACACCTGGACTAGAGAATTTTTTAAGCATAAGTTGTGTACATTATATATCTGTATTGTTCGGTATATGTAGAAGGTATAAGGATTCCTCCCTCCCTCCCTTCCTCCCTCCTCCCTTCCTTCCTTCCTCCCTCCCTTTTTTGAAGGTATAAGGACTTCTTGCTTTTGCTCTGCACTATTACAGAAAGGGGCAGAGATGGATAGCCACACTGAGTAGGGGAGATCTCTCTTATTCACAACCAAGGGAATTAAGCTGGGAGGAAAGGGAGAGATTGATAAACCTCCAAAAGAGGTTCAAATGAATAAATGGGTCTGAGGGAAACTTCAACAGACAAAGCAATACTATCTATGGTATATAGGTATGGATATATAAGAAAAAACATAAAAAAAACCATGGACTGAATCACCCCAAATTCATGAAAACAGGTTTCAGTGGCTAGGGAGAAAAGAGAGCAGGACTAGGAGGAAAACAAAAAAGATAGAACTTACCGGTACTGTCCTATTTTAAATTTAAAATGTTAACACATGTTAATTCTGGGTGATGTGTACATGGGTTATTTGTTACATTAGCCTCCATACTTCTCTGTATGTTTTTCATATGGAAAAAAAATCCTTCTGGTGAGTATCTATTTCAATTTTAGATATTTGTATTTTTTATTCTACTTCTAGGAACTTACCTACAGGAACATATATATGTATGCACTTATATAAGTGAACGTGAACCTATATAAACGTTCACTGCAACCTTGTTTGTAATAGCAAACTATTGAGAATAACCCAAAATGGCCATCAAAATGACTGCTTATATATATTGTGCTACAACTATGTCATCAAGAAAATTTTTAAACAAATTTATATGTGCTGATATGAAGAATACTCCAAATTATGTTAAATAAAAAATTGGTTGCATATTTATATTAAATACATATAAAACATGCCTATTAAATACATATTTATGTAAATGTACATAGTAAAATATATGCATGTAAACATATATGTGTTAAATACATATTTATATTAAAATACGTGTATGTCTATGTACACTCAGCACATCTCTGGAAAGAACCCAAGGAATTAAAGGATGGGGTAGAAGGGCGATTTACCTGGCATTAGATTCATCTGTATCTTTTAATTTTATTCCACATATTTGTATCACCTATTTAAACAAATTTTTAACTATATATAATACATAATGCATAGATAATATAATACATAACAATGTACAACAGTCCCCCCTTATCCATGTTTTTTTTTTTTTAAGATTTTATTTATTTATTCGACAGAGAGAGACAGCGAGAGAGGGAACGCAAGCAGGCTTCCCGCCAGGCAGGGAGCCCGATGCGGGGCTCGATCCCAGGACCCTGGGACCATGACCTGAGCCGAAGGCAGACGCTTAACTGACTGAGCCACCCAGGTGCCCCCTTATCCATGGTTTTACTTTCCCATGGTCAACCACGATCTGGAAGCAGATGATCCTCCTGATATACGGTCAGAAGATCAATAGTAGCCTAAGACGAGGTCACAATGCCTGCGTCATTCACCTCCCTTCGTCTCATCACATAGGCATTTCATCACATCACATTATCATAGGAAGGGTGAGTACAGTCCAATAACATATTTTGAGAGAGAGACCACACTCATATAACTTTTATTACAGTGTATTGTTATAATTGTTCTATTTTATTATTAGTTATTGTTGTTAATCTCTTACTGTGCCTAATTTATAAATTAAACTTTATCAAGATACATATGTATAAGAAAAAAACACAGTATATACAGGGTTTGGTACTATCTACAATTTCAGGCATCCACTGGGGGACCTGGAACGTATCTCCTATGGACGTGGGGGGACAAGAATACTATACAGCATAATTCTATTTTTGAAAGGCAAAATTTATATATGCCTAGAAAAAATCCTGTAGCTTATACCAACTTAACAGTAATTGTATCTAGAGGATAGAATTTAGGGGCCTTTTACTTTTTTCATGATATATTTCCCTAATGTTTAAATTTTTCACAATGGGTAAATATTATCTGTGTGACAAAAAATATTTTTTTAAAAAAACAAAATCTTTGCAATAGATAAATGTTGATCTTCTCTTTGGCTTAATGAAATGTTTACATTTTGATTCCCTATTTAAGTTTGTGCTACAGACAAGGTTTTCCTTTCCCATGTTAAAGGAAGGGTTCTTATTATTTTGTAAATTTTTTTTAAATGACAAACACTGGTTCTTTTTCTTAGCAAGATTTTTTTCTATAGCTAGAAATTCTATCTAGAGATCATTACATCTATATAATCTACTAGATACTCTTCTCCACTCATCATAAATTCTGCTTTAACTTTTCTTCCTAACCAGTCTTCTTGTATAATCATTTGTTCCTGAGTAATACTGAATATTAAAAGAATTTTCATGGAAGGGGACTTGGAGTTATGTTTTTCTTGTCATGCCTCAAATATTCCAAAAATGTATTGCTCTTACTTGCATTTTATTTTATTTTTTATTATTTATTTATTTATTTTGCTCTGACTTGGATTTTAAAACATTTTATAGGCAAAGAACAAATATGGAGAGTTGCCAGTCCAAAGGAGTATTTTGTTTTTCTATCTCAAGGAATATAAATTATAAATATGTCTAAAAGAAAACATTTCACTACAGCAAGATTGTTTTCTTTTAAGAAACAAATGAAAAATAAAATTTGTTTTTAGGTGATAGAGTTAAAACTTACTAACCATGATGAATAACCTCTATTGCAGTTCCTAAAAGTTTCCTTAAAAATAAACCAAAAAGACATTTAGTTGTAAACAAGAGAAAAAGAGTCTCTACCCCTTAGCTAGCCCTTTGGGCCTGGAGCTACAAAATACTAATTTACACTTTATTCGACCTAGAAATATTTATCTCAGGAGAGCTGTCTGAGCAGGGGTACAACAGTAACATACTAGAGGGCTTGGCGTTAGGAGAAAAGTCACAATGTCAGAGGGCCATTGGCAAGGAAATTTCATTTTTCTACTAACAGAAGAACTGTTTGGAAGAAGATTATTGAGAATGGACTAACTAGAGAAGAAAACATGAAGAAGGTTAGAATGCAACAGTCCAGAACAATTTAAAAGGACCAGGACCAGACAGCAAACTCCTTTGAGAACTGACTCCCATATCCTTTTTCTCTTCTCATCTTTGGTCTTCTCAAACTTGTTTTTCTCAACCATTCCAATCTTCCCCAATTTTGCCTAGTTGTAAAGAAAAACATCAAGATCTGACCTACATCTCAATCATGTCCACCTCTGTTGTATCTTTCTATCATGGAATCTCCTCCTTCTAAGGGAAGGCTTTATCTCAATTTCAGAGCCACCTGCCATAGCCAGGATTCTAAAGTGACTCATAGCCAGAAAATGGGTGAAAATCCTCTGACCTACTAAAAGAAAGAAAGAACTATAAAAAGGGCTAGATTCACTTACCACGAACTTGCTTTTTTATTTCTTTGGCAGAATCCAGCCATGTCTGTAAAAAGAAGAAAAGGCATTCACACACAGCTCCAAAACACACAAAGCACAGAGTACCAGAGCAGGATTACTGGACATTTTCGAATAGATTCTCTAGGTCAATCTATATCTCTGATATTCTCTGCATTAATTTCACACAGCATAGTAAATGTGAGCAGAGAAATAGGGAGCCAGACAGTTAGGAATGAATCCTAACTCCACTACTTCCTAGCTGAGCGATTTTAGGCATCTCTGTATCTGTTTTCTCATCTACTAGAGGAAATTAAAATGAGATACTAGTAGTTGTGCCCGTCTCATAGACTTATTGTGAAGATTAAATGAGCTAATACATGTAAAACTTTTAGTAAAGAAGAAATGCTAAATAAGCACTTGCTATTTTTATCATTCTGTAAAGAGTAGTAGAGATATAACCAGGATTAATTAACATCACCCAGATCTTATTTTTCCCTCCAACTTTGACCTCCAATCTCATTTAAGTTTTCTATGTCAACATGGCATCTGGTACATGTTTCATGCTCAGTTAATATTTATTGGATGAGTGATTATGTTGTTTTCCCTGACTACTCTTGCCCACACTAATCTCTCCTTTTACTGTTCTCCAACCCCACTTAGAGTCTACACACCATTAGGGCAGGATTCTTCAATTTATGGTGGACCATGAAAAATAATGGCACTTGGAAAGAGCCTCACCATTAACATCTTTTGCAGGCTCCTTGGGAAATGTTCAAAGACAGAAATTTCTAAATTAAATTGTTTAAAATATTTTATTGATATAAGAGACATACAGAAACATACCTAAAACATAAGTGTATAGCTCAATAACTTATCAAAGTGAACACATGAGTTTAACATTGTCAGCACCCAGGAGCCCCTCTCCTGCTTCCTCCCAATACCTCTCCATACCCTCCTCCAAAAGGTTTAAAACTGAATTTTAGTGATATTTAGAGTAAAGTACCCCTTCCTCGCCCTCTATCAACAAAGACAAAAGGCACAAGGCTACCATTCCATCTGCCCTGCCCAAGAAATGAACTTGAATTCCACAACCTTATATTTGATTATATACTACTTTAACTGCTTTATAAAGGTAGTCATCATAACAGACAATAAACACAAGAGTGAAGATTAATTTCCTTTTCTGTCCCCTTTCTCCACAATTAACACAGAAGATTAAGAAATGTGTTAAAAATATACCATTTAATATAAAATTATTCCTTAGAATAAAAACTAAGCACACACTTGTTTAAGCCCTGTCAGAAAGGCAGTAACTCTCATTTCTCATTATGATTAAAGAACTTTAAGTTGTTACAGGTCCAAAGGCAAAGGAAGACTTCAAAAAGTCCAATTAATAAGTTTCATGGAACCACTGAGAATCATCATTTATACCATGCAACCTAGAACTCTTAAGAAAGACTACTTTTTACCACTTTGGAATGAAACATCACTCACCATAATGAGGCAACTCTATATTTTCCACTATTTTTTTAGAGAAATCTCCCAAGGTAACCTGAAGCTGCCAAGTGTCTTACAGGGATTTTTCAGCCATTCTATGACTCTGGAGCTAGAATTCCCACCAATTTGACATAACGAGGGCAAACCCAGATTTGTGTCAATCACATGTGACTCCAAGGTATTAGTAACGTTATAGAACAAATTATTATTGCTTCAGTACCTAGACCTCCAAATCCAAATAAAAAACAATGTGTACAAGATAATAAAAATCAATGTGTACAAGAATAGGTACTTTTATGCTCAATTTAAATGATTCAATTCACAGCATTTTATTTAGCCAACAAATATTTGAGGAGTAACCCCATGTGCTAGGCACTGAAGTTTCAAAACAGGATTTAAAAATTGTACTTGTCCTCAACGAGCTGTCGGTCTAATGGAAGAGGTGAAAAGTGAACCACTGATTTTTTGTTCTAAGTGTGAGAATGATGATTATAGTAATGTGTGAGAGTCCTATGATGAGGGTGTTCTAGGAGCACAGAGGAGGTGCACCAAAATGGACTGGGGAGAAGAGGCAGTTAGGAAATGTTTCTCAAGAGAATGTTTGGGAGACCTAAGCCGCATCTTCATGGACAAACAAGAGTTAGCCAGGCAAAACAGAAGAGGGAGTAAATAAAAAGGCCCAGGGTATAAAAGAACATGTCTCAGTTGTGACATGTAGGTGAGCATAGCTGGAACAAAGAAGTGAGGAGGGGAGATACAAAACGGAAGAGAATGGTATGGTAAGGGTCAGATCAGGGGGAACTCAGTATTTCACAGTAAGAAACTCTGACTTTTTCAAGTTCCAGGCAAGGGGGAGCCATTGAAGGATTTAAAATAAAGGAGTGACATGAATTAGAGGAAGGACTATATAAAGGGAGACCAAATGAGGGGTTGCTGTTGAGAACGATAACTGTGGTACAGGAGAGAATAACAGTTATGGGTACAGGCTTTGAAGTCAGATAGTCTTGAGTTCTAATCCTGTCTCAACCTCTCTACCATTTACTAGCTGTGTAACCTTATATAAGATCATCTAAATCTCAATTTTCTCATATATAAAATTGGGATAAAACTACCCTCCTCTGGGTGCCTGGGTGGCTCAGTCAGTTGGGTGTCCAACTCTTGGTTTCAGCTCAGGTCATGACCTTGGGGTCCTGGAATCAAGCCCCACGCTGAGCTCCCCACTCAGCATGGAGTCTGCTTGAGGATTCTCTTTCCTTCTCCCCTCCCTCCACTCTCTCTCTCTCTCTCAAATAAATAAGTAAATCGTTTTTTAAAAAACCTACTCTCTTCAGAGTTTTTATGAATTAAATTATTTGATGTATATAAAAAGCACATAAGCAACACTCAATAAATTGTGCTGATACTGATCATCAAAAGGGCTTGATAGGATGAAGTCTATGGGACAGAAAAGAAATATGTGCATTAAAAGACATATACCAGAATGTTCCAACAGCAGTATTCTTAAAAGCCCAAACTATATACAAGCCAAACATCCATCAATAGTAGAATATATAAAGTGTGGTATAGTCAATTAACTTTTTTTAAGAATTTATATTTTTAAATTTATTTTTGAAGATTTTATTTATTTGACAGAGAGAGAGAGACAGCAAGAGTGGGAACACAAGCAGTGGGAGAGGGAGAAGCAGGTTTCCTGCGGAGCAGGGAGCCCAATGCGGGGCTCAATCCCAGGACCCTGGGATCATGACCTGAGCCGAAGGCAGACGCTTAACGACTGAGCCACCCAGGGGCCCCTCAAACAATGAACATTTATACAGAAATGAGAATGAATGATCTACTGTTACTCACACCACGGATGAATCTCAAAAACACAATACTGAACAAAATAAAAGAAGCCAGACCTAAGAGAACATATGTATGATTTCATTTTTACAATACAGTTTAAAAACAAGCAAAGCTAACTGACGGTAATAGATGTCAGGAAGACATCTGTTACTTTTACCGGGTGGGGTGGGAGTAATGATTGTTAGGGGATGGAGGGAGTGACTGGGAGGGGGCACAAAAGGGGATTCTGGAGTCCTGGTAATGTTTATTTTCTCAGTCTTGGGGGTATTTACAGATGTGTTCACTTTGTAAAAATTCTTTGAAATACGCATGTATGATTTACACACTTCCCTGTATTATGTTAGACTAAATAGGTGAGGAACTAAAGATAGTTATATGTAAACCAATTTCTCAAGAGAATGGTTTTGAAGGAGAGGTGAAAGAGAGGGTTATAGCTAGGGGAAAAAGATAGGAATTAACTTATAAAATAACAAAATATTGAGAGGACAAAAGTTATAGAATTGTATCTTATCGGGATCCTTTTTTTTAAAGTTTTATTTATTTATTTGAGAAAGAGAGCCTGAGAGAGAGAGCACACATGAGCAGCAAGCCCGATGCGGGACTTGATCCAAGGGACCCTGGGATCATGACCTGGGCCAAAGACAGGCGCTTAACCAACTGAGCCACTCAGGCACCAATTATTAGGGTTCTTAAGATGTCCCCAAAATAGCAAGTCTGGATAATCTTCTGGTTTCTATTTGAATACTTTCAGTTGCAAGGATTCCCTTTATTTTTTTTTTTAAGGATTCCCTCTGAAGGGTCCATTTTGCTGATCATTTCCTGTGAGTTAAATAAATTAACATCTTATTTATTTATTTATTTATTAAATTAACATTTTAACAGAACTTAAATTGTGCTTTAAAAAAGTATCACATAAAAAAAAAGTATCACATTCCTTCTTGAGCTTAAAAAAAGTTTCGAAATAATAGAGATGAATAACAGTAATAGCCTGATACAGATCTTTATTCATTCAGCTGAAGAATTACAGGTCTCACATGTACTCTCCTACTTTAAAACACCTTCTCACATGTTGTCCCTTTCACTTGGAATACTCTATCCCAATTTCTTCATCTGGAAGATTCTTGACTATCTAATTCAGATCTTATGTTACCTTCACAGAAAACCCCTTTTTTGTGGGTTCCCATCTTACTGCTGCCTCCTCATCGGTCTGGGAGCTCCCTGAGCAAAGAGACTATGTCTTTTATAGTTCTGTCTGGCACAAGGCACATGCTGTCGACTCAATAAATGTTTGATGAATAAATGAATAAACAAATGAAAAATGCTACTGAAATAAACCAGTATAGAGATGATAAAGTTTCAACTAAGGCAATGTCATTTAAGTAAGTAAAATGACTAGGAACTTTTCACATCTTTTGTGGCAATATAACCTTAGGTTCATAAAGTTTTAAGAAAAAACCCTAAGAAAGAACAGTCCTTGAGTTGGCCATCAGCTACCTTTATCTGGAGGTCCTAAAACCCTGCACATACATATAAGTGATCTAGACAAATCCTTGTCTTTTTTTTTTTTTTTAAGATTTTATTTATTTATTTGACAGAGACACAGCAAGAGCAGGAACACAAGCAGGGGAAGTGGGAGGAGAATCAGGCTTCCCACCGAGCAGGGAGCCCAATGTGGGGCTCGATCCCAGGACCCTGGGATCATGACCT